TTCCTTCTGTATTTGAATTGTCTCTTCGTTTTATACTTGATGATTTTTGATTGACTGTGGAATTTTCTTGGTTGTTCGAAGAGTTTTTATTTCGAAATTTGTTGAAATTTTTGAGAACTCGGTTGAAATTCTTTGTCAATAGTGTGATTGATTGTTCCATGGTTTCAGTATTGGCTTTTGAGTTTTCTTCTTGTTTGGATTGTAGTGCTATTCCTTTGCCATTATTTTTCTGATTTTGTAACATCTCAAGCTCATAGGTTTGAAGGTTTCCCATTAGATCACTAAGTTTGTAGGTATTCAGATCTTCATTCTCTTGAATTGCTGTGACTTTTATCACGAATCTTCCAGGTAGTGAGCGTAGTACCTTTTTGACGATCCTATGTTCAGGTATAGGTTCGCCTAGGTTGAGTGCATCTCCATAGATGCTTAAAACTCTGGCACTAAATTGTGTGATATTTTCTTCTTCTTCCATCTTCAAGTTTTCAAATTCGGTCTGTATCATCTGTAATTTGGATTGTCTTATAGATGTGTTCTCTTCATGATGATCACATAATATACTCCATGCAGTTTTGGCTATGCGAGTGGTGGCAATCAGTTTGAAGGTATCTTCGCTCACAGCTACATATATTGCATTCATTGCCTTCGTGTTGAAGTCATATTCTGTTTTTTCTTCTTCACTCCAGTCAATTTTAGGTTTTCTATTTCCTTTGTCGTCAACTGGAGTTTTCCATTCGTTTTCTATAGCATTCCAGACACCTTCTCCTTGTGCTAATATGTATATTTGCATTCGGGCCTTCTAGTAGGAAAAATTTGTGCCGAGTAGGGCTGGTGGCCTGTTGTTTGACAGTCATTCTCTTGGGAATTCCATCTGGATCCTGCTAGTAACTTAAGCAGTTTGGCTCTGATACCAATTGAAATATATAAGCGCAACACACAGTGATGTTAAAACTGACGTTGTAACACAAACGATTTATAACGCAGTTCGGGCAAACAACCCTAATCTGCGAGGCACTTTTCAAGTTGAGAATTTGCTTAAATCCACTAAAAGCTTAATATTTAAAGTACACTGTTTGGAACCGGAGATTACACAATAGAATGATCTTTTCTATCGGACTATTATGACCTAAACACATGTACTACTTTTCAAGGGGATTTGGGTATCTCTTCTCAATGACTCTCGTACCTCACAATTAGATCTAGAAAGCTTAATCATGCATTGAAAGACATCCCCTAATTATAGTGCCCATGCCTGATAGTTTACAGTTAATCCTAATTAAACTAGGACTAGACATGTTTTAATAACTTAGTTCCTAGTGGGAATAGATTTAATGAATACTGCCTTATTAGTATTCCTTTGTGAAACTGGATTCCCTTTTTGCACATAATTTGACAAAACATTATCTTGAGTCAACAGTGCATGAGCATGGTTTCAAAGAGTGTTGATCATGTTATGGAGGTCACTAGAGCTTTGATAGACTTGAACGCTGGTTTCGTTGCCGAAAATGGTCCCAATGCTCACCGTCTCTTTCTAAGAAACAATTATTTGAGTCATTTTGCGGTACTTCGGCTGTTGACCAAGTTGATATTCGTCCTCCTCCTCTCTCTAAAAACAAGGGTTGTGGTAAACGTTTTAAAAGTACTAAGGAGTTAGCGGTTAAGAAGTCGAAATGTCGTCAACAACAATGTCACACATGTGACGAGTACGACCATAATAGTCGTGCTTGCCCGATGCGCAAAGATAAAAGTTAAGATTGTTGTTGCAACAGAATTATTATCTTAATTTGGTTTTAGCACTTTCGTTTTTTTGTTAAAAAAGTACTCCATGCGTTGTGACTATACTTGTCGTTTGCTTTGTTATTAAAATAATGGTTTGGAATTTGTCTTTCTAGTAATCATTATCCTCATTGTTTTTTTTTTCCCGTTTATTTTACTTATTGCGCAATGTATAATCTCTACGGCGCACAATTATTTCCTAGTTAGTTTAACAAACTTGCACAATGTGATACTTTATGGTTGCACATCCTATTCCGCTATGAATTTCAAATTAACCAAGTTTTAGTCTACTTAACTGTTGTTACATTTTTTTTTTTATTATTAAAGTTGCATTTTTATAATCACTTAAGTTGCACAGTTTGGTCATTCAAAATCGTTTTCATTTGCACATCTGATTAATTAATCTTTTGCACAACTTCTTTAGGGTGGATAACCATTTAGGAAATCTTTGATCATTAACAACTACACTTAAAATTGCATTACCAAAAACCTCATCGTTGCACATACCGGTTCTGAGTGGTATTTCATATTCGCACATTTTCTTGCACCATCGTTGCACGATTGCCAAATCATGCATTACCCATTTATCGAGACGCTAACAAATTTTAAATACTTGCAAATTGAATTTGTATTAAGCCTCAAACATTAGCCAGTAGCATGTTTGTGTGCGTAGTTTTGTCACTTTCTGTCAGTAACAGTAACAGCACAACTTTTAAAATAAAATTAATTATTGCACATAAAATTTAATAAATAGAAACCAATACATTGCACAAGTCTCTACTGGAAATTTATCAATTTCTGCACATTCTACTACTTCACCGATGCATTACTTATACAACATGATTAAGCATTTCGCGAAACTTTAACAAAAAATAATTACTATCAAATTTAAACTGTCTAGTAGCATGGTACTTTACATACTTCATGGTTCTTAAAGTCATCAAAACTAATGTCAAAAGTCGCATCAAACTGCTTATCTCACTTTTATCGCACCCACGTCATCATGCAATCCTTTTTAGCTAATACGGTAACTAAGTAGTCTACATTTGTTGCGTGAATATTCCATGCTCGAATAGTGGTGAGCTTGCGAGGTTTTACCGTGATGCTCATTACACTCGCTAAGTGGGATGTCTTTCATGTACTTCATCCTCAATGCTTCTATTATGGATTTGTCTCATTTGCTCAGGCCACACTCCCAACTCATCGCACACTCTCCTATGAAGGTCTTCATGTGCCTCATTGCAAACACCCCACTATCTTGATTTTCCTTCGTATCCCTCCATCGCATTTGCATTCTCTTTTGGTTCTGGCATTAGGACTTTTGCTCCACTGTCATGCTCTCTCTTGTCATCTAGGAACATACCCAGCATGTCTTTCTACTTACATAACATAATAGCAGTTAGTAACTCAAGTCAAGTTACCATCCTGCACTATCACGATCAATAGCTCAAGTTTGAATTATATTCAGAATGCACAGTACTCATGGTAATGCACTATACATAGTACCATATATGCACAATGTTTCTAAATCCCAGTGCTATTAAACTTCTAAGTGAATGCACTTTTATAACACACATCTTATTAGTATGTACAAATTCCCATCCCAACCATCAAGCACTCTTCAATCAAACTATTATGCATTTTTCTAAATCACAGACGTGCACAATTGCTTTATCTATATTTCAGTTTCTAAGAAAACGAATGCACAGTTTTCTATAACTCAGCTATCTATTTCACCATACCTTATTTCAATCTAACACTTTGTATCACAATATTAAATACGTTTCTGCTGTTAGTGGTCCCTCCTTTTTTTTTTTTTTTTTTTTTTTTTCAATTCATTCATATGGAAACTAATTTAGAATAAAACACAATTTTTGGGATCTTGGTTAAAAAAAAAAACAACTTTCTGTCTCCATATGCCAGTATGTGGTTCCCCATTATATTTTTTTTTTCCGCTTTGTGCACTCTTCCATTTTATGTCGTCTTTGTCCTTTACCATATTCTCATCTTCCTGTTTTACATCACTATCATTTTCCTACTTTTTTTTTTTTTATAACTTTTTAGTCAGTATTCATTTTGTCTTTTCCCCTACCTATTTGTGCATTCTCTGTATTTGCACTATCTCACAACTAACCACTTCTCCACCAATGCAGACTAACACGCCATCACATACGCACCTCTAATATAAAGGTGTAGTGTATTTTTATTTGTTTCAAGTATCCACTACACCTTTATTGAGAGGTGTAGTGTAAAGCTATAATTATATGCCCATTTTTGTAGTAGTGTCCCTACCTTTTCGCTATCTCTACTAATTTTTTAATTTAATTTTTTTATTAAATCACGTGGTATTCTAAGTAGGTCATAGCTACAAAAATCCACATTAGTTTATTCTTACAAGAGAGAGTTTTGAACTCCAACCTCTTTAAAAGAATGAGAGTGTATGATCACTAACAAATTATTAGTCCACACAGCTGCGTGGATCACGGTCCAAAACGATGTTGTTGAATTTTGAATTAGAATAATGTACTTTATGTGTTAGAATAATGTACATTATGTTTTAGAACAATGAAATTTCTGGGGTAAGATAATGTACTTTATAAGTTAGAATAGTGTATATTATGCTTTAGAATAATGTACATTATGAGTTATAAAAATATATTTTGCAAAAACAACGTCTTTTTTGGACCGTGGTCCACACAATTGTGTAAACCACAGTTCACGCAATAACTATTGATGATCACTTACACCAACCAAGCTGGTTATATCTCTACTTAATTTGTTTCTCTATCTCCTATTTTGGTCTACAAATTGGGCCATATCCTTGACCAAACTTGAAAATTTGTATTATCCCCAAAAAGGCCCAAGCTCAAGCCTACTAGAAATTATCCCCCAAAAAAGCCCAAGCTCAAGCCCATTAGAATTTCATCGTTAAAGCCCATTTGGTATATTCGGCGTAGTGGCATTTCCCGCATACGTAATGAAGAGTATATATTATTCCTTATTTTGATTTTGCGTTGCGTCTGAGAGCAAAAGGGGTTGGATTTAGTGAACATAAATTCATCGCATTTATTTATTCAGAAAACGCAAAATTATTATTTGTCGCAATTTTGGATTCTATAGATTCTGATGGCGGAATCGTCTAGGTGAGAAAGAAATCTGAATATCTGATCGCATTTGTCAGCTTTCCTCATTTTCGAAACTATTCATAGTATATGTATAATCTTCTCTTCTCTCCGCCTAGGTTTTTGTTTTGTTCCGTTTTTCAGGTGATGTCTGGTCCGTTTTCGCCTTTCTTCCCCCCCCTGTTTTCTTCCTTTTTGGGCGCATTTTTCCAAGTTCTTTACTGAATTCTTGATTGAGTTTTTGCTTCTTTGGTTTGTGTCAATATTTTGTTTGATCTTTTTTCTTTTGATTTGTTTCCGCGGGCTTCCAGCATTATTTTTAATTTTTAATTTTTTTTTTTGCGGATCATTTTGGTTGTGATGCTTCTTCTTTGATTCTTTTGAAGTGTAGGGATATAAGGAGAATCTGTTGATTGGATATTGCAGAGCCGCGGATAGCTAAATTAGGTTTGCTTCCGCATCTGTAATTTAGAATTGGTGTTTTACTTTGTTTTAGAATTGAATTTTGAGTTGTGGTTTGTTTTTAATTTAATTAAGTATATTCTTTGACTGAATCTGCTAGTTGAAATGATCTGTTTTGTCTTTTCAAGAGTTTGGAGTTTATGTTGGAGCTCATTTTATCTCTTAGTGCGTTTACCTTTTTGGGGATTTCAAGTTTCTGATTGCTTTAATATTATTTGAAGCTAGGGATTATTGAATTTGATCTTAAAGTGTAGTAAATTGCATGATTTTACATTGCTACGCGCAGGTAGTGGGATCTTCTGATTAAACATGCCTAGATTCCTTAAGCATGATAATTGGTTTATATTAAGTTACTCAACTTGGTAAATTTGTTGGTTATTGTGAAATTAACCTTAATGAGCTTGTGTTAGAAACAACTGGAATGATTTCTAGCTTGCCACTGTTTGATGCTTTACGTGGCATAATTTTTTATTTTTTTATTTTATTTTTATTTATTTTTTTTAACTCCTTACCATGTAAAAGAAAAATTTAGATACCACGTGGTACCGCTTGATGCTTTATGTGCAGGTAGTGGGATCTTCTGATTAAACATGCCTAGATTCCTTAAGCATGATAATTGGTTTATATTAAGTTACTCAACTTGGTAAATTTGTTGGTTATTGTGAAATTAACCTTAATGAGCTTGTGTTAGAAACAACTGGAATGATTTCTAGCTTGCCACCGCTTGATGCTTTACGTGGCATAATTTTTTTGGTAACTCCTTACCTTGTAAAAGAAAAATTTAGATACCATGTGGTACCGCTTGATGCTTTATGTGCAGGTAGTGGGATCTTCCGATTAAACATGCCTAGATTCCTTAAGCATGATAATTGGTTTATATTAAATTACTCAAATTGGTATATTTGTTGGTTATTGTGAAATTAACCTTAATGAGCTCGTGTTAGAAACGACTGGGATGATTTCTAGCTTGCCACCGCTTCATGCTTTATGTGGCATAATTTTTTTGTAACTCCTTACCATGTAAAAGAAAAATTTAGATACCACATACTAGGAGGATGTAACTATTGGCGGTCTGGCATCACTTGTCAATATAGTTTACATGTGTCCTGTGGGCATAAAATTATCTGCTTATTGTTTTTCCATGGAAGAAAAGTGTGCACTAACAGTGCTATTGCTTGTATTAGTATATAGGTTTAGGTTGGAAACTTAAGGGTTTGTGGATGACGACATTAGTACAGTTGATCAGTGTGTAACTGTGTGTTGGTTGTTGAGTCAGCATCTCTCATGGAAAAGTGACTCATTTTGTTGATTAAAGTTTTTTGTATTCTGCCATTGTGTATTACTAAAATTGTTACTTCACTTAGGAAAAAAAAGTGAGAAAAATGTTTTGAGAGGTCAGAATAACATTTTCTTTTGTTACCATCATGATTCATGCATGCATATCAATGGTTCATGTATGGTTAATTAATGATGTCATTGTAATCCATCTCTTGACTTGGAATAATGTCTGGTTGTGGAATTTATTTTGTTGTTTAATTACAAAACGATTTGCAACTTGGGCTTGGTAATGGTGGCCAAATGTTTGCATGTTTAATTTTAGGCAATAGCTTGAAGCTTTATAAACAACCTCTTGAAGCTGTGTGAAGCTTGTGGATTTCTTGCTTTCTCATACCTGCATGGTGTTCAGGGCATCTAGCCTTTAGGAATGTCTAAGATCTACTTCAGCAGAATGTTATAACTTATTATGAAAATGAACCCTTTTTTGTTAAAATGTATAATGAAACTAAGGTAAATCTGGTTCCTTGATGTGGAGCATATGCCCTAGCTTCTTCCTTTCACCTGAATGCTAAAAACTGTAAAATGATGTGGTGTCTTTACAAAATTGTTCCAATAAACTTGTGTGAATGTGGATTTCTAAAAAAGTGTGTTCATCATATTACTTGTGCATTATTTCTTCTCACTTGTTTTTACTTAATTCATTACACAGTTTCAATACAATTTTTTTTTTTAAATGTCCACATTTCCATTTTGAACCAGTTCAATTAATATGCACTAAATCACTAATGCATATCGTACTGAATTTTTATAAGCCAAAAGGTCTTGAGTTGGGAGTTATTGTTGCTGCAAAGTACGGGGGCACCTATAGATTGCCTATAAAAGCATGTTTTTGTTATATCTATATATGCATAATTATTATATATCTATCCTATGTGTTACATACTGTTAGAGGAATAGGGTGTTAGTTGAGAGGATCTCTCTTAGCCTTAGTTTTAGGTGTTTGAAATCTATGGCTAGGATTAGTTCTTGTCTTATATAAATAGCTCTATACTTCCTTGTACATCTACACACAGAACATATAGAAATATACAAGTTGAGTTCATTGTGTAACATGGTATCAGAGCGAGATTGAGGTGACTGGGTAGTGGGCATTGGTCGGAAAGAGGAGGCGACGCCGTCGGGAGAGGCGGAGCAGCCACCGGAGTCCTCACACACCGGCGCAGTCCTAGGGTTCCGAAGCCACGTGCCGGCGCGTGCGCACTGGTCCGGCGTCTTCTCCGGTCGCGGCTTGCACTGTTGGGCTCGTCTCTGTACGCCCGACACGTCTGCAGTGGTGGTGTAGCCCGGTGTTGAGGAGATTTTTGATGGCTGCGATGTCTTCATCTCTTGCTGCGTAAGTGGTGCGAAAATTCCAGTTTGGAAAATTGAAGGTTGCTGCTGGTCGCAAGAGAGAAAAATCGCTAGAGAGAGAGAGAGAAAGAAAGAAAGAGAGAGAGAGAGAAAGAAAGAAAGAGAAAGAGAGAGAGGTAGGGTTTGTGAAAAAAATGGCTGAGGAGAGTGAGCAGAGGATAAGGGCTGCGTCAAGTGGTTCAGTGACCAGAAGGGGTTTGGGTTCATAACCCCCGACGACGGCAGCGAGGATCTGGTTGTTCACCAGTCTAGTATCAGGCTATCAGCGGAGAGAGATGGTAGGAGAGGTCCATGAAGCTGGGTGGTTTGAGGTCCACGAAGTTGGGTGGTCTCATGGCTACAAAATAAAATTGTGTGGTTAGGTTTGTGCTGTTGACGAGGAATAATTAGGCAGTAGGTTCTTTTGTTTATCGTATTAATAAGTCTTGAGCTTTGTGTTTTGTTTATCATAGTTTGTCGCTTTAAGTTAATTTGGTATGGGAGCAATTCTAGGGTCTGAGTTTCGTCAAGTGCAGCTTGTTCAGTGTGCGTAAACAGCGGTGCTGCAGGAGTGGGCAGCACAGGTGCCAGGAGTGGGGCGGACCTGGCATATGCCGCGGGGGAGGCCGACGGCTGAAGAATGATTCAGAGTGAATCAGTTTACGTGCATGCACCAGGGAAACGCTGTGGTGTTAGGCAGCATTGATAAGGGTGCATGGTGAGAGGGACAGGTGCACTGTGGTCTAGCAGCGCTAACGGTTTGTGGAGTGAGAGGCAGGTACGTTGTGGTGTTAGGCAGCGGTGATAAGGGTGTGGGGTGTGAGAGGTAGGTGCGGCGCTGTGGTGATTGGCCTAGCTTTTGTTGGCTCCATAGAAGCGTTGTTGATGCGACAAGGTGCGTTGTGGACTGGTTTGACACAGCGTGGTTCGAAGGTTGTTCGAGTGGTTCAAGACTTGGGCGTTAGCCTTGGAAGTTATGAGTCTAGGTGTGGAGTCCTATGGTTCATGTGATACATATGTAACAAGTTGGATGCTCCAACTTGAGGGGGAGTGTTAGAGGAATAGGGTGTTAGTTGAGAGGATCTCTCTTAGCCTTAGTTTTAGGTGTGTGAAATCTATGGCTAGGATTAGTTCTTGTCTTATATAAATAGCTCTATACTTCCTTGTACATCTACACACCGAACATATAGAAATATACAAGTTGAGTTCATTGTGTAACACATACAAAGATGTGAAATATCAGATGAAGTTCTGTACATGGTTTGGATTAATACACACACACACTCTCTTCTACACAAAAGCAAGTCATGATAGCTACTATGGCATGGTGATGAGTTATTGATTCAAAGTTGGAGAGATACGATTTTTACCTCTTGTTTAGTTATGAGGTGGTGTGTTTTGGGCTACTGGGATAGGAGTGTTAACTACTTAACTTGCATCTGAAAAAGTGAGGTTGCTAAATAGAATAGTGACACGTTTAGCCTGAAGGTGTTCTTTATGTTGACTTGTTTTGCTATTAATTAGGGTGTGCATAGCCATAAAGAAATGGCAAACTCGTCAATCTCTCTGAATTTGTTTATAATTGTAGTAACTGAACTTTATTTGTTATCTTGTGTATTCCAATAAAGATTCAGAGTTGGAGTTAAAAGGCAAACCATTTTTGCACATTGTGTTGTTTTGGTAAAGTTTCAATTAGTTTTTGCAGCATAGCTGGAACGGTGTGGTAGGTTTAATTTCTTTCCCACTCGTATCCTTTGCATTTAAGAATTGAGACTCTTCCACCCGTGAAGCTTTTCTTTTGGTGGAAACTGAAGTGTTGTGCTGATTTACTTAGTTAGCACATGATCTGAACTCAAGGGTCATGGGGTTAGCTGAAGATGTATAGAAGCGTAGTGGTAGCTTCTCATTTATGAGTTTTCAAGAAGAGTTTAACTTGTCTCTCTCCTCATTTATGAGAAATTTGTAGATGTTTATGGAGCTTTTATTTACTAAATCAAATGTATACTTTCAAACTATTGTAATTAGGTTTTGTTGGATCCTTAAAAATTAAAATATACTCCGTAAATGAGTTATTATTTTCATTCACTCCCGAAGAAATAGTAACTTGTAAGAAAGTTGAGGCTGTCAAAAAACAACCTCACCCTTGCATAATACTTCAGAATATCTGATGACAAGGTGGGGTGTTGCACTAGTTGATTATAATTCTTATTTATGACTGAATCAATATATTTTACTTCAATTGAAATTAGCTTTATTAAAGAGTAGTTGGCTATTTGTGTTGTGTTATTCTCTATTTGTGTTTAGTATTGACTGACAAAATGGAGCAAGAGTAAGGTGGATGTAGGCCGGTATTGGTTCTTGCCTTCATGGATGTGTCTTCTTTTCATGTTCTTCAAGTTGTGGCTGTGTTCAGGGAACCAGTCAACCCAGCTAACGGTTTCTGTAAAAATTTTCATAGAAGATACGGCCATACGGGGCCACTTTTTGTTTCATGTATTGTGAGTCTTAAAATTCATGTGGATATTTGGTTTCATACTTTCACCCCTCTTAAATTATGCCCCTTAATTGATGAGTAGATGTTCATATGGTTACGTTCGGGATTCTTATTCGTACAGTATTCTCTGCATGCTGACAGATGAATAATGTTTCAGGTTCTTCCAATTGGAGAAGCACTGGTTACTGACAGCTTACATCCTTGGCTAGCCATTGCTACACTGCGTTCAAAATGAACCGCCAATATAAAGAAGATCATGTATGTTTAGAATCTTATTTAGTTGACTGATTTTAGTACTAAACTATTTCCTTAAACTCTTCCCTAGAATGTGTTATGTGTACAGGATGAAGTAACTGTCATGGGATTTGAAGTTCCGAGATCACCTGATTCAAGCTACAACAACGTGTACCCCGGGAATGAAGATGAGGGGCGGGAACCACCTCTATTCCCCCCGCACCTGCACCAGACCGTGCTGAACCACCCAGCAAACAGAGACCAATCTGCATCCCTCCCGTCCCCACAGAACGTGGTCCTAAACCATCTTTACATCGAGAACAGCAACCGAGAAACACCAAGAACCGTGGTGGCACTAGGTACAACGCATCGCTTCCGCTCAAAATACGTCACCGTCGTGCTTTACAAACCGGTCCCGAGAAGGGGTGGCAGCACCTGAAATTCGTCCATCACAATGTACGCATACATCTGTGTTGTGCTATTGAAGAGAGTAGTGGTAAAATTCACAGGCGTTTCGCAGCAAAAAGATATTTGTTTCAGTGCTGCCGGCCTGTTTGCTGGTAAAATGTAGGATTTGAAATAATGATATGATGGTTTAGGAGATGTTTGACCTTCGATCTAGCTCTATATTTTGGTGGTAGCGGAGTTTCGTCTTTATGTTTCAATGATGATGATGAACAAGCACAGCAATGTTGCATTGCAGTGGAACCACATTGTATTAGATTGATACCACATAACATTGATTCCATCAGTGCTAAGAAATTACTTGTATACTATATTATGCTCTGCTCTACGGTGCTGTATGTACATTTAACTTGATAGCCTACATAAAAAAAAATAAAAATTGATAGCCTTTTTTCATGTTTATTTGGAAAATGACATTCCCGTATATGATATGAACTGATAGAGATGGATCAAAATGCTTTAGACCTCACGAAAAACTCTTAGTCCTGAATCCTCAAAGACTTGGAAGAATTCCATTGTAGTTTCAAGTATATATTGATGATGCAATCTTCAATCAACTAGAGTCGGATCTAGTTTCCTTCGATTCAAGAACGAGTTCATGAACCTAAATCTAAGGTTGAAGAAAGGAAAATTGATTCGAGTCCACGAATCAATTTGCTAGTCGAGTCCACGACTAGCCAGTAATTGAGTCCACAATCAGCCATAAGGTAGCCAGTAATTGAGTCCACAATCAGCCATAAGGAAAGAATCCTAAACCTAATCTAGAAAGCAAGTAAATATAGTCCTATTTAGAAAGGGGTTTAAGGAATCCTTTCAAAATACAAACTAGTGTTTTCTCTTTAATACCAAACAATTTAAAATAATGATGACAAAAAATAATAAGACTGATTTGGGCCTAATTTAATCTCCAAAATCAGCACTTAAACAATTATAAAAAGCCTTCAGTTCTTCATCATCTTTTGCAAATGGATTTGAGTTGGATTTCCACCATCTTTGAACATAACAAATGAAGAGTTGTCTTAATTGTTTGGACTTGGGCCTTGTGATTGACCCAATTGGTACTCTTGATGAATCTTCATTATGTTGGGCCACATCATCCTCCCCTTCTTGAAAAATGATTCGACCTCGAACTTATAAACATTGTCTTTGATCTGTGATGTCACTTGAAACGGGTCACTTAATACTTTCCTTTATCGAATGGAATTATTATTGGACTTTCTTGTTTCTTCCACCGATGATGCTTTAAAGATGTAGTTATTGGCCTTGTGATGAGCCTACTATGGACCCTTATTAGATTCCATGTGTGTTGCCGTGTTGGTTCCTATTATTCTCCCATTCTTGAAAAGGATTCGTTTTCGAATCCAAATCTTCCATTAAAGACAAATTAGCAAGCTCACTTTGTATTTTATCACGCTCATGAAACTTTTTAATGGGATGCTTGACATGAGTCGCTCCAATCTTTATCCTACAATCAACAAGTAAGGCAAATAAGTCTAATGACACACCATGGAATTTAAATATTCTAGATGGTAATAGTTCAACAAAATGAGACATTAAATTTAGCCACCATGTTTGAATTGTCAACAAGCACAAAATCTTTACTCCTAGAGCTTAAGGTTAAACCAAACACAAAATCCATGGAAATATCAAGTAAATCTAGATGTATTATGGTGGTAAGTAGCACAATTATGAACATAAGATTCTACATCTTTTTTCTTCTTTGGCCAATGAAAATATCCATGCAAAACATCATCACTCTTTTGGAATACCAAATTGTCCCTTATGTGAATAAAAAATTAAACTAGTGCCCAAAACAAAGCAAAAAGTGCCAATCCCATTGACTTTGAACCAAAACCCCTTGAGCAAGTAGTATTTCACATAAGAAGTTTTCAAATGTGCCTTATAACTTCTCAGTGATTTCTTATCTCTATTCAATAAAGTTTTTGTAAAATCAAAATTAAGGAATCTTGGATATATGGAGGCAAACAAATTTCTAACACATCTAGCAAGTAGGTCATTAATAGAAACATGACAAACAAATCTAGAGAATTTTAATGCATGCTTTTGAAATAAAAATGAGTAAATAGTTACTCCCCTTCTTTTCTATTGCTTACTATCATTTTTTGTTAGCGAGACTGTACTTTGATAGCTCTAGCTGGTTCTTTCCACTGTACCACTGATAACGGTTCCTTTGTTTGGCTACAAACTAAGTTAAAGGACTGGAGTGGTGACTCCAATTCCAAACGTGGAGGTTCTTGTAATACCCCCGATTTTCACGATATTTTAAAACTTAAATTCATAAGGCAAGGTAACTAACAGGTATCATAAAACTTAAACAACAGCGGAAGACTTTAATTAAAAACGGGAAAACGGGAAGTGGTATGCCACATCCACTTCAAGCGGATGCACAGGCTAGTCTAACAACGTACTAATCATGTCCATACAACCATGGCACACAGGCCCAAAATACTAACTACAGTTCAAGGGAACTATGCTAACAAACCGACAGCTAACGCGCTCGCCATAAGCTACTCAAGACCTGTAAAGCAACATAAAGAAAGGGGACGACGCCCGGTCAGCGAACATTGCTGGTAACCCATCAATACGCGTTAAGTAGCATATATAGATAGTATAGATCAAAACCATTTTCGAAACGGAATACAGTATATAAATCAGTTCAAAAGTCAAAGAGAGAAGTCAACTGCGAAGACTCTATTTCACTTTCAAAAGAACAAGGGAAATCAACATCCCAAGAGTACAACAAGACAAGAACAACAATGGTAAACAAATACAACTCAAGGCGTATTCTACTGATCACAAAGTAGAATACCACTCGACATACTCATTAGAAAAGAATAGACATTCACACATTGGCAACTACATGCCACAGTGACACTTCATGTCACAAGTTCCAACCTTATGCCCTGTTCCAACCTTATGGCTACCCCCGGCCTTATCACAGTTCCAACCTTTACCTCCTAGTGCCACCCTGTACTTCTGAGTCCAACCTTATACTGCCAGGGACCGTCGTCCCCCCTCCAACATAGCCTCCAACATACCACCAATTCATGAGTTCACGAGGGTACTTTTCATTTCAATCACATAGCCTCCAACATGTGAGCCTACGCTCAGGTCACACCACCAATTTCATTCATGGCCACCACGAGGACCACATCGGTACCTTGGAGATTAAGATACCCTTAATCGTGCAATCAAGGTATCGCAAGTACACACATTTTCATTACAGGAATCAATCAATGGATCACAAGAAAGATATGAAACCATACTCAACAAGGAAGGATTACAATCCGACACCAATGGTGGTCAACACAAGTTGTCAACCCCAATAGGTAAGAACAAACCACGCACACTAGCATTTCAACATCAAACTAGCATGCTTATCAAACGGGTAAACCAAACATCGTTCCGTAGAACATACGAGACTCATCATGGTCCAACGAATCACAAAGTTGAACACTTAGCACGATTCAAGACGCCAAATCCTACATGGATTCCTATCATACCGTTCTAGACATACGAAACATCAAGAAGACACTCAAATAGCCCAATAAAACAACATCGGGAGGTCAAAACATCAATTATCGAGTCAATATTATCACGGGGAGCAAATCCCCGACCGACCACCAAGATGTACCCCGCGGGTGGGGTTATGGGTGGACCTCCACCCGTGGTTCCGCCCCCGGGTACCATTACCCAAGAGGCCTGTACCCCGCGGGTGGGGCGGCGGGTAGGCCACTGTCCGCCGTTCCGCCCGCGGGTACACTCCTGTACCACAATTAATCCCTTCGGGGATTTTCAACAACAAGTCCAAATTCAAGTCCAAAACACACAAAATCTCACACAATACAACAATATGACTTGAACCCAAGAAATAGCCAAGCAATGGCATACAAGAACCCTAATAACAAGCTCTAGATATGCATTACCACAAGACAATGCATCAAAACTCACATTTCATCACAAAAATCACAAATAGAAGTCAAGAAATCATCATATAGGTAAGAAAATAGATTTTGTAAAGCATGGGTTACCTCTTGTAGCCTAATACTTCACTTTTCACACCCTTAAAGGCTTCTCTTAAAGCTCTCCTTCAACTTCAACTTCATAAACATACCAAAAGACAACAAAGATTCCATTTTTAGAAAAAGACACCTAAAAAGATACTAAAAATACCAAGAGATCAAGGATCTTACCCTCCCCTATGCTCAAGGTTAAGAAAGTATGAATCTTGGAGACCAACTTGTAGGATTTAAGACACCCAAAATTTGGCTTGAAGAAGAAGCTATCACTTTTCTAGAGAGAAGGTGGAGCTTTTGTGTTTAGGGTGTTAGTGAATGAAATGAATGGATGATGCTAGGTTAGCTTGGGGCACAAACATAAGGTAGAAAGACTTCTTTGCCCTTACTAAAGTTGGAAGAATAAGGAGACAAGGGTACTACTCATAAGGCATAGAGTACAACTCTTTGACTTGGATTGACTAGTCAATTTCTAGTCCTCCGACTATTGAATTTTCAGGATTTTAGGAATAAATTACCAAATAAACTAGGATTAATTATCTAATTAATCCTTAAATAGATTTTGGATTTATGGGGTGTCAAATCCTCTCCCCCTAAAAAGAAGCTTCGTCCCCGAAGCTTGGGTACGACGAATCCAAACAAAACGGCAAAATGAAACAACAATGTGACAAGAGAAGCAAGAACATCTTTTGACCAAAACTTCAAGAATTCAAAAAGATGCAAAATTGTCAAGAAGTTACCAACGAAATTCCTTGAGCACAACAAACACTTAAGGCCAAAACTCAACGACCAAAGCCTTCTAAACAACACTAGAGTTCCAAACCACCAGATTCTAGTAGAACAACCCACAAAACTAACCACACAACACAACTAACAAGCAGGAAGGATAACACAAGACACACAACACACAACTAACAAGCGGCAACAACATAACGATAACAACAAACGAGGGAAGGTA